TAAAAAGTTAAAATTTTACAAAGTAAACTGTCTTTGCGTTTTTTAAGTTTGTTTAGAACACAGATACATATACTCTAAAAGTTTTATGCAATTTAAAACTGAGTTATTTTAATTTTTCTAAAAAACTCAATGTTTCGAAGATAAAAATTTTTGTATAACTATTTTGCCAAAAAGGAGTAGCTTATTTTCGGAAACATACGGTAGCTAAAAACAGAAACATACAGTATATATTAACTAACAGTCTAAAAACATGTACATATAGTCAATGACAATTAATCAAGGACCCATTTTCATTCTCTCTCAATATTTGATGGTATAAAGCATAGGTAAATTGTGCCACAATGTGAAATCCATCCTTGATGGTCAGATTCTGGAGATTTCGAAAATGCTCCGTAATGATTCTACCTTTAGTTATTTATTAATTGTTTTCATTGGTATGTATTAGTGGGGTGCACCAATATTTTCTTGAACCAATGAATCGAAATGAAACCATATTTTCAAATATCTGCGTAATTCTTTTTTAAATATGTATTGATATAAATTCATAAGACCATTACAATTTCCTATAAAAGATTTTCATTAACGGCAATAATTAACAATAACAACAAAAATTACTTATATAAGTCGCACCTTGTTTCCCTCCTCACTTTAATTCTCCCCTTACTTCAATTATCATTTTATTGGAGGTTAACGACATACTGTTAAAATTTTGACGAATTACACTTATTTGAATAACTGTAGTTAACAACATGAAAAACTCTTTGATTATCGGATTTCTGTTTTTATTGCAGGTAAATAAAATGAATTAATCAGTGCGGCCTCAAAGCATTGACACATGATATGTTGCGAGAAAGTATAAATTTAAAGTATAGTAATTCTTTATAACGAACCTTAATTTTCAAAACTATCAGTTCATTATAACACTTATCATACGAACAAGTGCTTCATCATTCAAAATAAAGTAAAATATATAAATAATAAATTAAATTCCATTTAAAATAATTATAGATCTATTCTGTTTTTTGTGTTGATCCATACTCCACATTTATGGTCTATGTTCCCAAAAATGGTGGTCTATGGGGTGCATGTACTGGACAGACGATTACATATTTAGGTAAATGAATTACTTTATCAAATAATACCTTACTTACTACTACTGTATTAACTCCTTCACATTATTTCTTTAGATTTTTCCTTGGTGTATTCACTTAGCGGAACCCCCACCGTACCTGCCGTAGGCAACTATACTTATGGAAAGACTCCTTCTACTGTTGATCACCATGGATTTATATACGCATTGTACCCCCAAAATCTTACTACTGTTACCAACTCCTGTGGAACTAACACTACTGTTTGTCGTTTTGTAACATACCGTAATTACTCTCTTCCAAGAAATCATTATTGCGTAATAGTAGGTAATCCAAACAATGTTGACTATTACTTGACGATGGTATATTCTTTCGGTGGTACCAGTGCTCGTCGTAGTATTAATTCACCTAAAAAAAGTGTTTACGAACGTCAACTTGTTGATTTTGAAGTGGCCGGTCCGGAAGTTTTGAATAAATTCCAAAGCAGTCAAGGTTAAATTCATATCTCTAAGAAAAGTGTTCAAGGATAGTTAATATGGGGAAAAGTATGTGACTGTGACGTTTTTTACATTGTTCAAATACCTAAGTAGTCCATTTTATTGTCACAAAATCATAATTCACAGTGTAATCTCTTATATATATATATATATTGTATTTATATCTTTTTCGTTTGTTTTTTTTTCGATATTTTTTATCTCGTTATATTTTTCGTATTTTTTATTCCTTTCATCTTTTCGATTTTTTGGCCCTTTTCTATAAATAGTCTATTGTCAAAGTGAAATAAAGGAAGTTCTCCCCGTCTGATCTTTATTTTAAGTGAATAAACTATATATAATAAATATAATGTATTGTATATTAAAATACATATGTTGTAAGTTACCCGGACAAATTGATTTACGAATGTATTTTTCCGGAACGGTGTAACGTAAATCAAAACAATCGAACAAAAGATTTTAAAGTAATAAGTTTCATATTTAAAGTTAGGAATAAGGCCGAGGGAGGAAATAGCTTATACCAAAATTCCACAAGGAATTTTTTTTGTTAGAACACAGAAGGCGGTTTCATAGGCAAAATTTCGAGTAGCAATCTTTTAAAAGGACATGATTTTCACGTTACACCAGATCCTTTTATCTAATTGGCTAAATTCACGTGCCGGACAGGGGTTACGTTACACGACATCATGAAATATAAGCTGCAATTGTTGTCCCGATCCACAAAAAAATATAAGAAAACATATAATTAACTTTTACCGAGAAAAGCTTAATATACTACTGGACGTAACAGAAGAGAGACTTTTAACATGGAGTTAAATCAAGAGAAACAACAATAAATATGGTTCGAAAACTATTTATTTACTCGTATTATTGACACTGCCAATTAACTTTTAAAAAAGATTCTAATAATAAATAAATAAAACACGCAACCCAACAGAGCTACTAAGGTAAATGTCAAAATACATACGACGTGGAGAAACTCCTGAAGTAAATGACGAAGCACGTAAAATGAAGAAGGTACGACATAAAGAAATGAAGTTAACGTTAAAAGAATGCGACGATTGGAAATAAGATATTACCGTCGAGATATTACCGACGCGGAGAAGTTACAAGAAAGAATTATTTAGAAACATACGACGTGGGGAAATAAATTTTGAAACACACACGACATGTAGAAGTAAGTATCGATTAATATTAATGTATCTTGCAAATAATACTGTTTTGGCAGCTAGAGGTCTATTGGTCCTAAAGGAGGGATCGGTTAGGTGCCTTCCTCGAACTGTTAAAATGGTATTATATATTGAATACTTTCGATCGCTGACCTAACACTTCTGGTGTATCTCGTACATGAATATATCGGAACTGTTATGGACTCTGTAATATTTTAACATATTTCTACGAATCGTGAAATTATTAGAATATTACAAATAGGGTTCACATGGGCATGTTAATTTGTTAGGCATCAACATCTCGTTTCGGTTTAACAAGTTAAAGAGTTGCCGTGGGTCCGTACCATTTTTTGATATTATTTCTACGAATCGTGAAATTTTATCAATATGTTACGAAGGCTGGCATTTTTGGAATTGTTACACGAATCGTGAACAAACCAAGAGTGCTTAGCAATATTCTTGATCTATTTCGACGAATCGTGAAATTAATCGGGAATATTTAGCATCGAAAGTGTGAAATATCTATTGCATTCATTAAGCTAATTGGTCTTATTTAGTACTTATATATTAATTTTATTTTTTATTTTATTTTATTTTATTTTTTTTTATACAGTATTTTAGGGTTTTTTTTTATTATTGCCGAAAGAAATCTTACTGGATGAAAACAGAAAGTCCTTTTCCGAAAGTTCATAGTCATTAACCAAAATATTTATGCAAGACCTTTTAGAAAAATTAAAAATGAGAACGGAAGACGTACCAAGCCAAAAATCGATGAGTGGTTCATTTCAATGAATCGATTAATCAGCATAAGTGTCGAATTAAAATTGAAAATCGAAAAACGGCGGTTGTCATACCTACAAACGATCTTTGATCAAGTAATTTTTGATTTACGAATTGATGATTAAAACCTATGATGAATGAGATTGATGAAGCATAAGTGATGAATTAAAAAAAATAAATGTAAGTTTATCGTATTTACGAAAAATTTCTTATAAAGAAACCTTTCATTAAGCAATTTATATTTAGCGAATTGTTGAGTAACAAAACTTATGATGTATGATGAAACATATGTATTAATAAAGCATAAGATTACGATTCTTTTTCTTTCATAATTTAATCCACTCGTTAATTTTTTGTTTGCATTATTGTTTCCTAATATTTCTTGTTTTTTTTTTTTTTTTTTTTTTGACAGTTATCCGGCATTACCTGACGAAAGTGCACAAATGGGTCTTGTGAAGAAAACTGATTAAGGGTATAGAACTTGTAGATCATTTCTATTAATAAACTAGTGACCAAAATTTTTTTACTACGGATGTATCAAATGGGTCTCGTGAAGAAAACTGATTAAAGTATTACTGCCGTCGGATTTTATTTAACGTAAGCCTAAAACAATTTTATATGAGCTTGTTAATTTTTCGTATAGTTGCTTTTTTTTATAGCGAACTAACGGTTATATATCATATTCAGATATTATTAGAGAAAGCTCGTAATATTTTTATTGGTCGTCAATCGTTTGGAGTTTCAAAAGTTCGTCAAATGAATATGAAAAGTTTACAGTTTCCATTCCGCGGCAAACACACCAGCTGTAAGTTCTGAAGTCTGCGATTTTTTAAAAAAAGAGCATTCCTTACGATAAAAGGACATTACTCACCTTTAAGCTTTTTTTTTCATTACTATTATAGGCAAAAGTTAAAAAAACATATTCCTATAAAGTATTGTTTTTAATAGCGAACCATTTTTTAAAGTTAAGTCGGCTAAAAGATCAGATAAGGATAGAATTTGATTTTTCAAGAATCGCAAAGGAAGTATCACGCGCTCCAATAATAAGATCTTAGGGTAGGTTTCTTTATTTTACATAGAGTGTCCATCACTAAAATCACCAAAACAAATTTGACAAAAAAAATTAATTATGTGGTTGTTATATATTTTAGGTTCCGAGATAATTTTTGGAACTATTAATAATTTTGATACTGAAAGACACGAACCAAAGTTTTATACGTACATAAAGAATGAAATAATATTGGAGGTAAAATTACAATTGCGTTGAGGTTTAAAAACGGAAGTGCCGCATAATAATCACAGCTATGTAATACTTCCACATTCACTTTAGTAAAGTAAATTAATTCTGCATTCATTTAATAATCTATACGATGAATAATAGTTTAAATTCCTTCATAAATTCTATTTATAAACCCGAATAGCTTATTATAAATACCTAAATGAATAAGTGCCTTTATACTTATGTACTAAATTAATGTGAATAAATTAAATAGTAATATCATGACTAAAAACATTCTATATATTTAATATTTAGATTAGTTGATGTTCTATATATGTATCTACGTTCTAAATAAAATTAGATAGTATCTATATATGAATTGCTTATTATAAAAACATACCGGTATACAATTTTAAGCATTTAAATTTGCCAATGTTCATTACTTATACTGAAATAAAAATAAATATTCATGGGCTTGAGTAGCGATTTTAGATATTTAAAAGGTGTGACCCACAATTTTCGTAATAACGATGAGTCGGCCAGGGCGGCCCCCCCAAAGTTCTGTTACACAATCCCGTATAATATAAAATTACAATCGGCATGTTATCGATATTTGATATCAATAACTTGTCCGATTGTAATTTTATATTATACGGGCTTGTGTAACAGCACTTTGGGGGGGCCGCCCTGGCCGACTCTAATAACGATAGTGAGAAATTTCGAGATTCTAGATTATCTATTAATCGTATATTCAATCGGTAATTTCTATATTATTTTGAAAATTTGTATAATTCCCTTAGAATCGAAAAATCACCTAATTTTACATGACACAATCATTTGTAGAGGTCACACAAATATCTAATAAATAATACAATTAATCATAATATTGTAATAATATGATTAATATTCAAAAATAATTTTATGTTAAAAAAAAAAAGAGAGAGAGAAAGAAGTAAAAATTATGATAGCCACTGTTAATTCCTAGGTCTAATTCTAACCTTCGATTCCTCACAAGAATTAGCTATTGTGGATTTAGTCATTAGTGGTGCACTCATATCAACTAACTCAATATCATACTTTCTAAATACCAATACCAATAATGACAGTAATTCTATTGTTGCTAATTTTCTTCCTGGACAATTACGTAATCCACCACCAAATATTACCAACGAAAATTTATGCCTTGCATTAGGATCTTTTTTTATAGAATCGATCTGGGTCAAAAATTTCTGGATTCAGCCAATGATATTTGTGCAAGTGAAAATCACCCATATTTACGTGAAACATTGTTCCAGCATTCCATAAATAATCTGCTACTTCGCAAGGGTTTTCAAAATATCTTGGGAATTCATTTCCAGTAGGCCTAATTCGATTAACTTCGTTAATTACCGCATCACAATATTCTAACTTTAAAGGTCTTCGTATTTCATGCTAAAAGGAATATTTGGAGGAAACATCAAGTCGATCTCGACGACAATTTTTTGTTTAACTTGAGGATAATGGCGGGGTAGTAAGATATAATAACAAATGAAGTCGAAACCTAAAAAAATGTTTAATAATAAACCGATTAATACGTAGTAAAATAGTAAATACTCGTAAATACGCAAAAGTATTATCTTTTATTAAATTAAATAACACCAAATTATGTGAAATTACGTTAAATTACGTAAAATCACTTTAATACTTACGGTGTCAGTTCATCCTGTGAAAGCATCAAACAAGTTACTTCGAATTTCAACATCCGTCAATGGTCTAAGAATATTACCTTTAACACTCTTTATATTCTTTACATCTCTTTCTGTATAAGCAATAATTAAAGATGTTAACATATCATGCCTTAATTTGGAATCTATAGGCATCTTTTCGATCTCTTTCCTTCTTTTTTTAATAAACTTATCTAATGTTTCAAATAAATAATCTCGATTATTGAGTATCATTTTAGCCTTATCTTTATAAAATGGTACGTAATGACGAGAGAATGAACCAAGGTACATAAATAATGTGAGACCAATGCGATGATCGCCAAATCCTTTAATAAATCTTTAATAATCTTCCATCACAGCATTAGAGCGTGATACTTTAACTGGACTAATCACATTATAGTACGAAGCCATCGAATAGGATCTTTCCCCGGTGAGTAAAACCACAGTCATATCATTCGTAAATCTACGAATCCATGTTACCAGATAAGTTTAAATTAACAAGAGATTTCCAATATCCTTCTAATTCTGGAAATAATTTATTAGCCCATTCAACAACTTCATAATTAAAGTTTGATGCTAAAACAGTTTTATTAAAGAATTGACGATTAAATTTCCAATTTTTTACAATATGGTTTGCTGATATGCCTCTTCCACTCATTCCAAGTTCATCCAATCCTTCAGTATATGGAAATCTTAACATGAAAGTGGTATCTTTAGACGAAGGTGCTAACATTTTTTTGAGATATTCAGGACGATAAATCAAAACTCTTCGAAAATTGTTAAGGTAAATTTCACAGATGTCACCATATTTTTTTGGAGTAACATATATAGCTCCCTAGTATCACTTATAAACATATAAGAGCATTCTATAAAAGGAAGGGGTAAAGGTTCTGGTAATTTATTATGACGTGTAAAGTATTTATAATAGAATTGAAAGACATGCTAAAAAAAATAAATGCGACTAAAATAAGATAGTAATTTAAGATTGGGTGTAATTAAGATTGGGTATAATTTTGTTGATAACATTTATTATAGCCATTTGAAAAATTTTATTGAAGAAACGTTCATTGAGAATCAAAAAAAGAAATGAATAAAGGAGTGATTTTTTGTCCATTGATATCGATATAGTTAATATGTAATTGATTTGCATCAATGTTGATATGAATCAATATCTTTATAAAATTAAATATAGTGATAGATTTACATCAAAAAAAGCAGACCTATAACAAGTTCTGTATATTTGGACGGCTGAAACGAGGTATATTAAATGCTAGACATCCAATAAGTATCATTCTTGATCCACATTATATTAAAAATTTTTATATCAATTGTTGAAACGATTAAATAGGTGTATCAAGAAAGTTACTTTAAACAATAGGCAGTGGCGCAGTAAATGACCACCATATACATGTCGCTACAGCCCTGACTCGAATATCTTCATGTAACTTGATTAATTAATTGGTGACGCAGCAACAATTATTCAATTAATTATTAATTGCAATTTTTGCTTCAGTGATAAAAGTATATTTGCTGATCTTTGACGTCAGAAATTGTACAGCAGTTTAAAAAGAATACTGTACACTTATACGTAATTGAATAAAAAGAGCAAGCTATCAAATTTTTTTTTTTAATGACATGCATAAATTTTTTTTTTTTCGAAGCACATATTGAAATAACACTCTAAGTCTTGATTTTTAAATTTGGTTCAATTAGCGCAAAAATTTTAAATAAGCGTTATATAGAGGATCTGCAGATGGATGCGATTAATTTTTCGGTTTTAAAATAGAATATTTTAAAGTCGAAAACATCATATTATAGCAAATTTTATGGTTAAGCAATTAATTGCAATTACTCGCAATTTAATTGTATTGCAATTGTTCTTTTTAACAAATTTAGTTGGTTGTAATTGCATAATAATTTAATTACAATTGATTTTTGGTACTCCTGCTTGCTTCTATTATAATTATGCATGTAATTGGAATTATGAGAGTGTCCTAGAGTAACCTAATTGAAAATGGCAGATTTATTACACGGATCCTAACACCCATGACAAGATTTTCACGGCTTTTCTTCATGCAAAATAACATTTATTTCTTTTAAAATCTCTTTCTTGGTTATATTCATTAAAGATAATTTACGAATGACCATAATACAATCTAAGAAAAACGCCAAAAAAAAAAGTTCGCTATGAAAATATCAGCCATGAAAATAGCAACCGTGAAAATATCAGTAAAAAAGTCATGGGTGAACAATTAGGAGCCGTGTAATAAATTTAGTGTTATAAGCCGATATGCAGCTAGTCGACTAAGTCGACTTAGCCGACCCTGATCGACTAAGTCGACCAAGTCGACTTGGTCGACGAACTAAAAATTATTGGTCAAAGTTCATCTATTGTCCTT